TGGTACATTATCAAAAAGTTTGAGAATTAAAATAGTAGCCTAATGGCTGTTGATAATAATGTGAAGAATACTGAGAAGTTTTTGTCTGCTGGCTCAACTGATTTACCCAAACATGGCAAAACAAATTTAAAGAAATGATAAAGATTAAGTAAGCTTAATTTGGTTTGATATGACAAAACATATAAGGTTTGATATGACAAAAAAATTTAACTATGAAAAAAATAATAGACTAATCATTTTATTTGACAGTATGCCCAGGACCTATAATTTCAATACTAATATATTAATGCTGCGAGTGTTGTTAAACTCATTGCATTGTTCAGCGCAGAAAACGCTTTCGTGCTCGTGTGTATACATTTTAAATACTTTTTACATATGTATTTTCCTTATGCGTTGGTAGGTATCAAAATGCATGCGAGGGAACACAAAACAACGCACGTTGACCATATCTCTGAAAGACAACAGCGCTGTGTTGAACAGACGACAGGGATAATGCATTTCCCAGAAGCATCGTATGGCTAAGTACAGTTAGATCGTAGAACCATTGCCACCGATGGTCTCTACAATCAACTTGGCTCACGATGCTTCTGGGAAACAGCCCAGACCTGAATCAGCCTTTCGTGACATTTGAGTTCTCCGGTGTAATGCGATCTCATGCAGAATGCAGAGCAGTGATTGGAGTAAACGAGTTTCTTCTCGTTAATAATGCGCACCGAACCGCTTAATGTAACACTATGTTGTTTTTCAACCTTCATAATATATTTCCAAGACCCTTGTGATGGTACATCGACTTAAAATAAGTTAAATGACACGTCTGCCATAGCCTGACGTGGTCTGTATCGCTTTTACTGGCACTATGTAACTTCTGGTTTCGGGTAGGAACCCGTGCACAAAAAGAACTACAAAATTCGACTGCTTTACGGCATACGTCACTTCCCCCACCACTTCCTCAAATTGTCTGTGGCCAGGGACGTGCACAGGGGGGTTGCTCAGGTTGCCCGGGCAACTGCCCATATGCCCTTCTCACTCAAGTTGCCCTTCTCACTCAAGTTGCCCTTCCGAGAAAAAAATTAAATCGTACAATGGATGAAGAATTTCACGTAGGCCTAGATTAAAAAAAAAATCGCAAAGCCTCATTCACTTCCATTCGGGCACCGAAAGTGAAAGTCAGTATGAAGGGCAAACGCTGCACGCGACCTAAGCACGCGACCGGCGTAGGGCCACGCAAATTACTTAAGGCCACGCCTCCATCTCGTATCATAGTCATAGTGCGCCGTCAAATGTAGCTACAACATCCACGACAAAATGAAGCGAAACTATCCTTCTGGTCACGAAAAGAGGAAGAAGAAAAAAACCATGAGAGTGAATTGCGGGAACAACAATCAGGTAAACTTGTGTTCTCTCCTCTCTAAGTTTGATGTCAGCAAAGTTTGATGTTTTTTGGTCTTGCTAACCTAGCTGGGCAGGCAGTGCATCTCTTGCATCACTTTGTGGCTGACAAAAGTGAGAGTAAAATACAATTATTTATTACGTTTGATTTTGATAAACGACAAAGTGCAACGGTGTTTGTTTACTGCAGCTCGGAAAACATAACCGCGTCGCGTGTGTTATCGTGCGTTCATATGCGCGTTGCCGAAATGAAACTCGCATTTTTCAAGCAGAAATATGTGGAGACCAGACATACTGTACAATATATGCACGTGAATGATGGCACTCCCAATCAAAGTACACATTATAAAACAAGACACTGATTATCTAGTCTCAGTGTAGTTAAAAACTCTAAACAACTGCACTAATTATGCAAGATAGAAAGCAATGTATTGACAATTTGACATTGATTGACTATTGATTTATAGGCTATATTGAATTAAAAATGTTGATTAGCTGGACATACTGGTCAAAATGGATGCACATCCCTCAGTAAATAATAACCATAAATCAAGAATTGCTTCAACATGCATAATAAAAAATTAAAAAATCATACTGATGCCGAAAATGCCCAGGCTGTAGAAAGAACCAAAGTTAATCCCAAAAGCCAAAGCTCAGGGTTATAATTTATTATTTTCTTCTTATTTATGTTTACGTTAATATTCACTTACTTAATAATATTCACTTATTATCTTAACATTCTATAGAAAATACTCTATTCAATAAATATTGTGTGTTTGAACCTCATTCTGTTCTATATTGTTGTACTTATTCTTTGACTGTTTTGTTTAAAGGAGGGAGGATTGTATGGGAGCGCTGAAGTGTCAGGTGTGACTGTGGCAATGGCAAATGGTTTACATAGCTCACGACATCACGGGTCAGGTAGAGGGCCCATTAGCGGAATTTTGCTTAGGGCTCCAGGGAGGTCAGGATCGGCACTGGGTGTAGCAGTCGATTCTGTTCCTTACCGGAATTCCTGTTCCCTTTACGCAATCATACTACAAATCATGCGTAGTTGCCCAGATGAGCAAAAAGCACAATTGAATGTACGGGAAGCCAAAAGGTTAAAAAAGGATTGTATTTTTTCCGAAATCTAAGCGTTTTTTTTTTTTTTTTATTAGAAGCGAGTTTTTCCCCATCTGTCAATTCAATCCAGATTATTTATTTAAAAATAATAAATAATAATAATAATAATAATAATTAAAAAACAATAAACAATAATATGAGGAACTCTTTTTCTCGTGTGTATTTTGGTGACATTTAACATATTGTTAATACATTTTGTATACTGTTTACAAAGTTGTATATCATAAACCTGTCATCTTTGACGTTTGCAATCTTTATAAATAATAATAAGACCATAATATGAGGCATTGCGTTTGGACATAAACACGATCAGATAAGGCAATTTGTATGGGCAAAATTCAACTGAATATATTCCTTCATATAGCCCGTGAGTTTTGGGGGTAGTGCCCTTTTTTCAGGTCAGAGCAACTGCCCCACAAAATTCCTGTGCACGTCCCTGTCTGTGGCCATTGCAGACATCCTAAGTCTCCCGGGAGTCTCCCGCATATTGATAGCGTCTCCCTGATGCCCGAAAATGAGTTCAAATCTCCCGCAATCTAGAGCGCGCATGCGAGACAGAACATACTGCGCGCATAATATACATAGCGCGAGCACGGCAGAGAGAGCGAGAGACCTTGCGAGTGTGCCTCACGAAAGCTAGTCAACCCGACCCCCCGTCAACAATCCAGTCACCAAGATATACCTCCCTGAAATGACTTCTTGCAGGTTGGTATGTCTGCCATTGTTGATTCCAAAGCCGGTGCTGGTGGATAAACAGCGAGCGTGTGCGTGCGACAGTAGGCTGCGGTAGGCTAAATTAATTACGACAGTGCTAATGGACAATTCTGCTTCCAACCAGTAGGGCGACCGCAGAGGAAAAGTTACTTGGTGTTACTTTAATGAACTGAAGCCGCTCTGAGACGGTGAAAATTGTTATTACAACAAGTCGCACGCGCGCGCTTCATGATACACAATACTGACATATTTATCTAACTTTAAATCGCTCTAAGCAATATAGCAATGTCTATTTAACGTTGGTTCATCGTGCAACCTGTCTGTATTAGGGATGCACGATGATATCTGGACAACATCGGTATCGGCCGATAAAAGCTTAAAATGACCATCATCGGCATCGGCCGATATGAATATTTCTGCCGATGAGTCTTGCCGATAGGGTGGCGTGTTTCCTATGCGCACGTGACGACCGTGAACGAAGCATGAGCGCCAGCAACTTAAACTTCCAACTAGGGGTGTGCCGTGCGTCTCACGGTTTTTGATCGTGGACGATTAAAATGTCTCCACTATCTGCTTTTGAAGAAAAATCATAGTATCGTGCATTCTATCAGTTCAGTTCTGGCGCCTTCATCTCAACATACTGTACAACGCGACGTACATTCACATCACATCACATGTAAACGCAGAGGTAGAGTTACACCGCAATTCACAAAAGTTCATTGTTTGCATGATGTGCGTCAAAGTCTTGCTAGGTAAACATGTCATTCACGTGCTGATGCGCTGTTCTAACATCCGCTTTTCTGAGCGCGTTACACCCGACGCTCACAGGAACTAAAAGCCTGTCACAGAGTCTGCATACTGGACTAATCTTTCGAGTCTTATTGCGCTGATACTGTCAAATACACACAAGGTTTACATAAACAAAGTTGGTTATGTCTAAAGTGAAAGCAAACAGAGAAAATCTGCTTGTCAAATGCGTGTATATTAGACGCGTCGCGTTATGCGCGTGCAGTTCTTAAAGAGACAGTAATAATATTCTGCCGCTTGTCTTTAAAGAGATACTGCACCCAGAAATAAAAATTCTGTCTATCTAATGTTGTTTCAAACCTGGATTCATTTCTTTCTTGTGCTTAAATATACTATGGAAGTCACTGGAGTACATCAACTGTTTGGTTAGCCACATTCTTCCAAATAACTTTTATAATTTCAACAGAAGAAAGAAACTTGAGAGAGTAAATGATGACAATTTAAATTTTGGGGAGAACTATCCCGTTAATGTTAATAAAACAACAAAACAAAGAGGAAATCACTCACTGCTCTTGACTGAGAACATTAATAGAAGCTTTAATAAGCTTTTTTTGCACTTAAAAAAAAATAAAAAATATCGGTATCGGCATCGGGCAAAATTAGTTTGAAAATATCGGCATATCGAATATCGGCCAAAATCCTATATCGTGCATCCCTAGTCTGTATGTGTCACAAACGTAAATTCAGCTGCAGCCAATATAGTGATTGCGCGGCCCACCTCTTCCCAATCTGCGACCCACAGTTTGAAAACCCCTGCCCTAATCAATAAATCCCTAATCCGTGTATCAGTCGTTCAGTCGTTTATGGATTTAATATTGAAAGTAGAAAAAGGAGAAAACGGATTCTTTTTTTTCTTTTCTTCTTTTTTTTTCAAAATGAAAAACAAGAATTCATTTTGATTTTTCTTGTTTCGCTCTCAGGTAGAAACATTAATAAGGCTTAATGTGTGTCATTGTTCTCTACAGGTTGAGGGATTGTGGAGTCACAGATGAAGGTTGTGTTGCTCTGGCTTCAGCTCTGAGATCAAACCCCTCATACCTGAGAGAACTGGATCTGTCTGGGAATAAACTAGGAGACTCAGGAGTGAAGCAGCTTTCTGATCCACTAGCGAATCCTCTCTGTAAACTGGAGACACTGGGGTAAGATCATCTCTACCATAAAGACTCTGAGTGAATAAGGATTAATATGTAGATAGTGTGTACAATATATGTTTGGCGTAAGCCCCATCCGGTGGTTCAGCGACAGATTCCTGCTTGAACCGTCAGATCCTGCCGGCGGTAGAAGACAGCGGTGAGAGTCTCCCTGAAGAGGAACATCTACATCTCACTATATTATTATCCCACAAAACACAGTAAAACCAACAGTTAAATAAACCGGACGAACTACAAACCAGACAACAGATGCAGGATACAGTGAAGAGGGTTTTTTAAATAATTCAATAAATAAATTTTTTAACAGTCACTTGTCGCCACCTAGTGGCAAAACAATGTAATTGATAAATGCATTATTTTAACGCATGATTCAACCAATGATTTTGTCAAAGGTTTAATAGACAGACGAATTGGAAGAATATCGTAAAACAGTAAACAAAAAAATTGCGATAGTTTGGTGAATCATTTTTTTCTCCCAGCCCTAACACACACACACACATTCCTTTAAATGTTTACAAATACATTAAGCACACACACACACACACGTTCCTTTAAATGTTTACAAATACATTAACCCTCTGGGGACCAGAGTGTTTTTGGGGCCCTTGGGATGTTTTGACATGCACTGACATTTGTGCTTTTTTCAGTTATTTATAAACATGTTAATGGCAAAGGTGTAAATTCACTCTATATAGTACAAACTTGGCTACCATGATATCTGAGCAACATGTATGTACATGTTTGTATTTTTAATAGAATAATGTTTATGCGTGGTTATTGAAAAAAATAAAAATGAAAGTTGCTGAAATAAGACCACAAAACACATATTGATTATTTCTTCACAAGACTTTTGAAAATTGTATCACATAGCCTAGAATATTTGCTCCAAAACTATGTGAGAATCATCCTGACTACTCATTCAGATAAGTCAATAAAGTCTTTTACATTTTTAATGACGTGTTTTGTTTGAGAAAGCTTTATGCAGGAGGCGTGATCTCTCATTAATATGTGTGGCATTCCACACCTGAGAAAGACAAAGACCCTCCCCATAATGGCCCTATTAGGTGCTATCAGGCCCTATCATTACAGGAGCCTTGCACAAAGAATGAGGAGATTTAAAAAAGAATGGCTTTTAGATTGTTTGGATTTATATAAGGAAAATACAGGGTGCATACGTCTGGACACTTCTATCACACACCCTTCACCATATAGACATGGTTTTATTTCAGTTCAAAGTTCAAAGTTAGAGTTGGAAACATCTTGAAAAGAAAATTGTCTTTCTCCATAAATGTCTTAGTTTGATCATACATATTTCAAAGTTGAGGATTCATTATTTTGATATAGCTTGAACAAACACTATAACATCTTAGTTGATTAGTTTATTGACAAAACATACTATATATTTAACATATGAGCAGAAACTCCTAAAAAAAGCTTATTTGATGTCTATTTTAGAGTAAAAACTTTATCCAAAACGAGTCAACGAAATGTTGTCTGTTATTTAGTCTGTAACAGTGCGTATCTGTGCGTTCATTCATTCATTCATTCATTCATTCACACACACACACACACAAACATGATTCACATTTTAAACAGTATGCTATTTTTCCGTTTACAGACACTACGTTATTCTATATCGCGATTAGAACAAAGCACTTGCAAAAAACACCTACTTCTCAGCTGAATCTGTTCATCCTCGAAGTGAAAATAAACCCAGTGGTAAATGTCCCAGGATTGTTCCTCATATAGCCGCGCAAGACGACAGTAGATTAATCTGACTAAAAAATAATGTGTGTTTTCAGAGTTTATGGGCGTTAACGCGTCTCAATGTGTTGCTTCACATATTTGCGTTTGAATAGCGCGTGCTCTCCGTGGGCGTGTCACATTACCAGAGATAATCAGCTGAGAGAACGATAAATAGACGGGCTGACACGTCTCTCTTTTTATATAGATGACATAAACGGAGAATATTAATTTTAGTTTTGAATCGGATCATTTAAAAGTACAAACTCAAATGATTTAAAAGATATATTGCTTATGGCTGGGTGAATAGTATTAGCTGAGTTGTGTTGAAGATTAGAGACGTGCTCCAGAAAAAAAGTTCACGGTGACTGAGAGGCAGAAGGCACACCCTGTTTATTTTCTTTATTTTACAAAAGCACAATATTTTATTTCGATTGTATGTGGGCACATAAAAAAGTAGACATTTACCAGATTATTTTTTCATATTTCTTAACTCTATATGAACAGAAATGATGGTAGTACTTTAAGTCTATTTTTCTGCTATGTGAAAAAAAACGAGCAAAACGCGCCGGCGCGTTTCTGGTCCCCAGAGGGGTAAGCACACACACACACACACACACACACACGTTTTCCATATTTTATGGGGACTTTCCATAGAAATTATTTTTATACTGTACAAACTGTATATTCAATCCCCTAATCATAACTGATGTATTTGAACAACATGAACTAATGAGTATTTCTATATATTCCATGTTGACAGCATTATGTTATTTATTGTTTAAGTGTTGTGTTTGTCTCTGGATATAGGCTTAATGTGTGTCATTGTTCTCTACAGGTTGTGTGTGTGTGGAGTCACAGATGAAGGTTGTGTTGCTCTGGCTTCAGCTCTGAGATCAAACCCCTCACACCTGAGAGAACTGAGTCTGTCTGGGAATAAACTAGGAGACTCAGGAATAAAGCATCTTTCTGATCTACTGGAGAATCCTCTCTGTAAACTGGAGACACTGAGGTAAGATCATAGTTCGAATTACGGAGGGTATTGGGGGGGTCCGGCCCCCCTAAATGAGACTTGGACCCTCCCAAAACGGATGAAAATAATAGTTTGGGGGTTACTGAAAGAAAATGCAATAGCCTAAGTAGTAGGGCTAATTGTGTAAGCTACACGAATTCGTGTTCACTTTAGTCTCGTTATAATCAGATTCAGCGCGTTCTTCATCTTCAATCCGCAGCAGCGCCGAGCAGAGCGCACGTCAAAGACAGAGGAGAGTGTGTGTGTGTGTGTGAGAGTGTTTGTGTGCCTCATTGGTCTGTCACTGCTCGCCAATGTCAGAATATTTGAGATGACCAATCAAATCAAAGTAGGCGGGCTTTATGTTCACAGACGCTGCTGAGCGCGAATTTTAGCAGCGCGACTACGGTCAAGTGCGAGATAAGAAATAAGTAGCTAAACTAAAAATTTCATAATTGACAGTTTTTAGGTCATAAATGTTAAACGAATTACAAAAATAATCAGGCAAACTAATAAACTTTTGTCTAATTTTGTTTCAATTTCGTCATATTGAGAATTAATATAATACAATTTCTAGCCTTCAGTAAATTAAAAAATTTTAGCTTTAGGAGGGGAAGATACAGGGCAAGATGAGGAGACTGAGAGAAAAAGAAAGAGTGATGGAGGTATATTGACAAATAATCTACTGCCCGCTAACATGGTTTTAAAGCTTTCTTATCTTTTTTTTGGCCTTCAAACGTCTTGAAATGCACAATCAGAGAAATAAAAAAATGTAACCCCCAAATGGAGAGTGACGTCACCAGTCGAAATAGCTGTCCCCCCCGAAGCTCACGGTATAATTCGAACACTGGGTAAGATCATCTCTACCATAAAGACTGAGTGAATAAGGATTAATATGTAGATAGTGTATACAATATATGTTTGGCGTAAGCCCCATCCGGTGGTTTAGCGACAGATTCCTGCTTGAACCGTCAGATCCTGCCGGCGGTAGAAGACAGCGGTGAGAGTCTCCCTGAAGAGGAACATCTACATCTCAGTAGGGCTGCACAATTAATCGAATTTCTAATCGCGATTACGAAGTGTAGGCCTACACTAAAACAAAAAGTGTCACCTCAGAAAAATGGCTTTCCTGTCCTGTCAGCCTCTACACTGCAGTCGCGCACTCTTCAGTTACACGCGCACATGGGGCGGAGCGCGCTTATCGCTTCACTAGGCTATATATAAAGAAAAAAATAATAATGCTATCAGTCAAATTCATCTTTACTTTGTTTATTTTGTGTTATTTTTGAGAAAGAAGAATCACTCCATCACATACAAAAGGAACAATTACACTTAATGCGACCAGTTTGAAATAATGGTGACACTTTATCACAAGTGTACAGTAACACAGCTCTCATAAATCATTTGCAAACTTTTAGTTTATAGTTAATGAATAGTATAAGAGTATATAAGCTGTTGTTAAAGCTACACTGTGTAACTTTTTTAGTTTATTCTTAGCTAAAAACACTTAGTTCTTTCAAAAATATATGTGCTCATTAATGTATATTTACTTCATTCAAGTAATAAAGTATTCTCGTGAGTGTATAATATGCCATTGAAAATACATACGGGTAAGGGGTTCTAATGTCGGCAAAGAGTATAAATGAAGATGACTATAGAAGAACAAGAGGCGAAACTCTGATGCTTTTTTGGTAACAGCCACTAGATGGTGCTTCGGTAGCGCGGCCGCCATTTTGGGGTGAAAATTCCAACTGGAGTTACTGGACAACAGCACAGATGACAGTTTGTTGAGGTAGTTTTTTCTTGCATTAGTGAGTATTTCCATTGTATGCAACTTTACACATTTACTACTATTATTAGTTACCAACTCCACTAGGTCTGAAATATATTTTGTACATTTTAATCCCCTGGATCATGCTACAAACATGATGATCTTATAGAATATGATGCTGCTGCATTTCTGTGTCCGTTATCCTATAACTTCAATTGCCACTTTGGACAGTGGCTGTGTTTTTTTGTTTACATAGTCTTGCTTTAACGGTCATTAATATAAGATAGTACTGCAAAAAAAAAACTGTTTACTGTAAAGCTATTCTGTTGCTGTTATATATTTATTGTCCAACATTTACATTTTAGTACAATTACATTTATTTGCTGAATTCATTTATTTCATTGATAACTTATTTTTGTATGTAACGTTATGTGTACCTCCTGGAAACGGTCTAACGTTATTATAACTTTATGAACTGATATCACTTTATTCTTACCTGTCACACTTAATGTGGAGAATATAATTAACTAGAAAAAAAGTTTGATGAGACAAACTTTAAGTTGGCTTGAGAAAGCCGGACCAGAGAGTTTGAAGAAGTTTAAAGTAGTTTGAAGTCGGATAGATTGATTAGTTAGAAAAGAAAAGAAAGATTAGTTAGATAGACAGAAGGATTGGTTTCACTGAAAGAAAGATTAGTTAGAAAGAAAGAAAGAAAGATTAGTTAGAAAGAAAGAAAGAAAGATTAGTTTAAAAAAGAGATAAAGAAAGAAAGAAAGAAAGAAAGAAAGAAAGAAAGAAAGAAGAAATGTTAGTTAGAAAGAAAGAAAGAAAGAAAGAAAGAAAGAAGAAAGATTAGCTAGAAAGAAAGAAAGAAAGAAAGATTAGTTAGAAAGAAAGAAAGAAAGATTAGTTAGAAAGAAAGAAAGAAAGAAAGAAAGAAAGAAGAAAGATTAGCTAGAAAGAAAGAAAGAAAGAAAGATTAGTTAGAAAGAAAGAAAGATTAGTTAGAAAGAAAGAAAGAAAGATTAGTTTAAAAAAGAGATAAAGAAAGAAAGAAAGAAGAAAGATTAGCTAGAAAGAAAGAAAGAAAGAAAGAAAGATTAGTTAGAAAGAAAGAAAGAAAGATTAGTTAGAAAGAAAGAAAGAAGAAAGATTAGTTAAAAAGAAAGAAAGAAAGAAAGAGAAAGAAAGAAAAAAGAAAGATTAGTTAGAAAGAAAGAAAGAAAGAAAGAAAGAAAGATTAGTTAGAAAGAAAGAAAGAAAGATTAGTTTAAAAAAGAGATAAAGAAAGAAAGAAAGAAAGAAGAAAGATTAGCTAGAAAGAAAGAAAGAAAGAAAGAAAGAAAGAAGAAAGATTAGTTAGAAAGAAAGAAAGAAAGAAAGAAAGAATAGTTAGAAAGAAAGAAAGAAAGAAAGAAAGAAAGAAAGAAGAAAGATTAGTTAGAAAGAAAGAAAGAAAGAAAGAAGAAAGATTAGCTAGAAAGAAAGAAAGAAAGAAAGAAAGAAAGAAAGAAAGAAAGAAAGAAAGAAAGAAAGAAAGAAAGAAGAAAGATTAGTTAGAAAGAAAGCAAGAAAGATTAGTTAGAAAGAAAGATAGATTAGTTAGAAAGTTAGAAAGAAAGAAGGATTAGAAAGAAAGAAAGATGAATTAGTTAGAAAGAAAGAAAGAAAGAAAGAAAGAAAGACAGAAGAAAGATTAGTTAGAAAGAAAGAAAGAAAGAAACATTAGTTAGAAAGAAAGAAGAAAGATTAGCTAGAAAGAAAGAAAGAAAGAAAGAAAGAAGAAAGATTAGTTAGAAAGAAAGAAAGAAAGAAAGAAAGAAAGAAAGATTAGTTTGAAAGAAAGAAAGAAGAAAGATTAGTTAGAAAGAAAGAAAGAAAGAAAGATTAGTTAGAAAGAAAGAAAGAAAGATTAGTTAGAAAGAAAGAAAGAAAGAAAGAAAGAAAGATTAGAAAGAAAGAAAGAAAGAAAGAAGATTAGTTAGAAAGAAAGAAAGAAAGAAAGAAAGAAAGAAAGAAGAAAGATTAGTTAGAAAGAAAGAAAGAAAGAAAGAAAGAAAGAAAGAAGAAAGATTAGTTAGAAAGAAAGAAAGAAAGAAAGAAGAAAGATTAGTTAGAAAGAAAGAAAGAAAGAAAGATTAGTTAGAAAGAAAGAAAGAAAGAAAGAAAGAAGAAAGATTAGTTAGAAAGAAAGAAAGAAAGAAGAAAGATTAGTTAGAAAGAAAGAAAGAAAGAAAGAAAGAAAGAAAGAAAGAAGAAAGATTAGTTAGAAAGAAAGAAAGAAGATTAGTTAGAAAGAAAGAAAGAAAGAAGAAATATTAGTTAGAAAGAAAGAAAGAAGAAATATTAGTTAGAAAGAAAGAAAGAAAGAAAGAAGAAAGATTAGTTAGAAAGAAAGAAAGAAAGAAGAAAGATTAGTTAGAAAGAAAGAAAGAAGAAAGATTAGTTAGAAAGAAAGAAAGAAAGAAAGAAGAAATATTAGTTAGAAAGAAAGAAAGAAGATTAGTTAGAAAGAAAGAAAGAAAGAAAGTAAGAAAGAAGAAAGATAGAAAGAAAGAAGAAAGATTAGTTAGAAAGAAAGAAAGAAAGAAAGAAAGAAAGAAGAAAGATTAGTTAGAAAGAAAGAAAGAAGATTAGTTAGAAAGAAAGAAAGAAAGAAAGAAGAAATATTAGTTAGAAAGAAAGAAAGAAAGAAGAAATATTAGTTAGAAAGAAAGAAAGAAAGAAAGAAAGAAAGAAGAAAGATTGGCTAGAAAGAATGAAAGAAAGAAAGACAGAAAGAAAGAAGAAAGATTAGTTAGAAAGAAAGAAAGAAAGAAAGATTAGTTAGAAAGAAAGAAAGAAAGAAAGAAAAAAAGAAGAAAGATTAGTTAGAAAGAAAGAAAGAAAGAAAGAAAGATTAGCTAAAAAAAGGAAGAAAGATTAGTTAGAAAGAGAGAAAGAAAGAAAGAAGAAAGATTAGTTAGAAAGAAAGAAAGAAGAAAGATTAGTTAGAAAGAAAGAAAGAAAGAAAGAAAGAAGAAAGATTAGTTAGAAAGAAAGAAAGAAAGAAAGAAAGAAAGAAAGAAAGAAAGAAAGAAGAAAGATTAGTTAGAAAGTAAGAAAGAAGAAAGATTAGTTAGAAAGAAAGAAAGAAAGAAGAAAGATTAGTTAGAAAGAAAGAAAGAAAGAAAGAAAGAAAGAAAGAAAGAAAGAAAGAAGAAAGATTAGCTAGAAAGAAAGAAAGAAAGAAAGAAAGATTAGTTAGAAAGAAAGAAAGAAAGATTAGTTAGAAAGAAAGAAAGAAAGAAAGAAAGAAAGATTAGTTAGAAAGAAAGAAAGAAAGATTAGTTAGAAAGAAAGAAAGAAAGAAAGAAGAAAGATTAGTTAAAAAGAAAGAAAGATTATTTAGAAAGAAAGAAAGAAAGAAAGAAGAAAGATTAGTTAGAAAGAAAGAAAGAAAGAAAGAAGAAAGATTAGTTAGAAAGAAAGAAAGAAAGAAAGAAAGAAAGAAAGAAAGAAAGAAAGAAAGAAAGAAAAAAAGAAAAATTAGTTAGAAAGAAAGAAAGAAAGAAAGAAAGAAAGAAAGAAAGAAAGAAAGAAAGAAGAAAGATTAGTTAGAAAGAAAGAAAGAAAGAAGAAAGATTAGCTAGAAAGAAAGAAAGAAAGATTAGTTAGAAAGAAAGAAGATTAGCTAGAAAGAAAGAAAGAAAGAAAGAAAGATTAGTTAGAAAGAAAGAAAGAAGAAAGATTAGCTAGAAAGAAAGAAAGAAAGAAAGAAAGAAAGATTAGTTAGAAAGAAAGAAAGAAAGAAAGATTAGTTAGAAAGAAAGATTAGTTAGAAAGAAAGAAAGAAAGAAAGAAAGAAAGAAAGAAAGAAAGAAGAAAGATTAGAAAGAAAGAAAGAAAGAAAGAAAGAAGAAAGATTAGTTAAAAAGAAAGAAAGAAAGATTAGTTAGAAAGAAAGAAAGAAGAAAGATTAGTTAGAAAGAAAGAAAGAAAGAAAGAAGAAAGATTAGTTAGAAAGAAAGAAAGAAAGAAAGAAAGAAGAAAGATTAGTTAGAAAGAAAGAAAGAAAGAAAGAAAGAAAGAAAGAAAGAAAGAAAAATTAGAAAGAAAGAAAGAAAGAAAGTAAGAAAGAAGAAAGATAGAAAGAAGAAAGATTAGTTAGAAAGAAAGAAAGAAAGAAAGAATAAAGATTAGTTAGAAAGAAAGAAAGAAAGAAGAAAGATTAGCTAGAAAGAAAGAAAGAAAGAAAGACAGAAAGAAAGAAGAAAGATTAGTTAGAAAGAAAGAAAGATTAGTTAGAAAGAAAGAAAGAAAGAAAGATTAGTTAGAAAAAAAAGAAAGAAAGAACGAAAGAAGAAAGATTAGTTAGAAAGAAAGAAAGAAAGAAAGAAAGAAAGAAAGAAGAAAGATTAGTTAGAAAGAAAGAAAGAAGATTAGTTAGAAAGAAAGAAAGAAAGAAAGAAAGAAAGAAAGAAGAAATATTAGTTAGAAAGAAAGAAGAAATATTAGTTAGAAAGAAAGAAAGAAAGAAGAAAGATTAGCTAGAAAGAATGAAAGAAAGAAAGACAGAAAGAAAGAAGAAAGATTAGTTAGAAAGAAAGAAAGAAAGAAAGATTAGTTAGAAAGAAAGAAAGAAAAAAGAAGAAAGATTAGTTAGAAAGAAAGAAAGAAAGATTAGCTAAAAAAAGGAAGAAAGATTAGTTAGAAAGAGAGAAAGAAAGAAAGAAAGAAGAAAGATTAGTTAGAAAGAAAGAAAGAAGAAAGATTAGTTAGAAAGAAAGAAAGAAAGAAAGAAGAAAGATTAGTTAGAAAGAAAGAAAGAAAGAAAGAAAGAAAGAAAGAAAGAAAGAAAGAAAGAAGAAAGATTAGTTAGAAAGAAAGAAAGAAAGAAAGAAAGAAAGAAAGAAAGAAGAAAGATTAGTTAGAAAGTAAGAAAGAAGAAAGATTAGTTAGAAAGAAAGAAAGAAAGAAGAAAGATTAGTTAGAAAGAAAGAAAGAAAGAAAGAAGAAAGATTAGTTAGAAAGAAAGAAAGAAAGAAAGAAAGAAAGAAAGAAAGAAAGAAAGAAAGAAAGAAAGAAGATAGATTAGTTAGAAAGAAAGAACGATAGATTAGTTAGAAAGAAAGATAGATTAGTTAGAAAGAAATATTAGTTAGAAAGAAAGATAGATAGATTGGTTAGAAAGAAAGAAAGATTAGTTAGAAAAAAGAAAGATAGATTAGTTAGAAAGAAAGATAGATAGATTTGTTAGAATGAAAGAAAGATAGATTAGTGAGAAAGAAAGATAGATTAGTTAGAAAGAAAGATAGATTAGTTAGAAAGAAAGAAAGATTAGTTAGAAAGAAAGATAGATAGATCAGATAGAAAGAAAGAACGATAGATTAGTTAGAAAGAAAGATGGATAGATTAGTTAGAAAGAAAGATAGATTAGTTAGAAAGAAAGAAAGAAAGATTAGTTAGAAAGAAAAAAACATAGATTAGTCAGAAAGAAAGATAGATTAGTTAGAAAGATAAAAGATAGATTGATTATTTAGAAAGAAAGAAGATAGATTAGTTAGAAAGAAAGATAGATTAGTTAGAAAGAAATATTAGTTAGAAAGAAAGATAGATAGCTTGGTTAGAAAGAAAGAAAGATTAGTTAGAAAGAAAGATAGATAGATTTGTTAGAATGAAAGAAAGATAGATTAGTGAGAAAGAAAGAAAGATAGATTAGTTAGAAAGAAAGATAGATAAGTTAGTCAGAAAGAAAAAAGATAGATTAGTTAGAAAGAAAGAAAGATAGATTAGTTAGAAAGAAAGATTAGTTAGAAAGAAAGAAAGATTAGTTAGAAAGAAAGAAAGATAGATTAGTTAGAAAGAAAGATAGATTAGTTAGAAAGAAAGAAAGACAGATTAGTTAGAAAGAAAGAAAGATAGATTAGTTAGAAAGAAAGATAGATTAGTTAGAAAGAAATATTAGTTAGAAAGAAAGATAGATAGATTGGTTAGAAAGAAAGAAAGATTAGTTAGAAAAAAAGAAAGATAGATTAGTTAGAAAGAAAGATAGATAGATTTGTTAGAATGAAAGAAAGATAGATTAGTTAGAAAGAAAGATAAATAGATTAGTTAGAAAGAAAGAACGATAGATTAGTTAGAAAGAAAGATAGATAGATTAGTTAGAAAGAAAGAACGATAGATTAGTTAGAAAGAAAGATGGATAGATTAGTTAGAAAGAAAGATAGA